ACACCCACTCACATCCACGGACACCAGCCCCTGCCTCATACACCCGACGCTGGGAGTCTCCGTTCCAACACAATAAGGGACAGTCCTGGTGCACAAACTGGAAAATGTGACAACTGAGACAACCCTTTGCTTCCTGCAGACCAAGGCGAGCCTGACCCAGCTCCAGCACCCCGGGCTGCTGCTGATGCGCCATCCTGGTGTGCCCTGCTGATTACCAGGAGGCCTGGGAAACCTTGTTCCTGCAGCTCTGCAGCCTTCCTCGGTGCCAGGGAATGGTCTTCCCAAGCCCACGGCTTCCCCTGGGATCCATGCATGTGCTTGGTCTGCTGGGAAAACAGGAAGTCCTGCCAAGAGAGGGTGCTGACTCTGCCTTACTAGGTGTATCCACTGTGTATTCTAACTGTCTTGGGGAGTATGAACGGTGGACTGTAGAAGCCTACTGCTGTGGTATACATTTACCATGTCACCCAAAGGTCTCTGGTGCTTAGAAGGTGACCGGATCACGGGGCGCTGTGCTCCTCAGTGGATCCATCATGGACGAGCTCCTGGCTGAATGTGCTGTAGGAGGCGGGACCTGGTTGGAGGTGGTCACTGGGCTGTGACCTGGAAGGGTGAGTTCTTGCCCCCAGCTCCTCCCTTCTCTCTCTGCTTCCCAGCCACCATGATGTGAGCATCTTTCCTCCTTCACACCCATCCGCCATGATGTTCTTGCCTTAAGAGCAGCCAACCATGGACTGCACTTTCTGCAACCATGAGCCTCATTAACCCTCTCCTCTGGGTGGTGGGTGTCAAGTACTGTGTCTCAGAAACAACAAAGTGCCTAAGGCAATGGATGAATCCATAGCAGAATGTACCATAGGAGGTGGGGCCTGGTTGGAGGCCATCACCGTGGTGTAATGTGGAAGGGTGAGTTCTTGTCTCCAGCTCGTCCCTCCTCTCTCTGCCTTCCGGCCACCATGATGTGAGAATCTTCCTTCTTCTATGACCGTCAGCCATGATGCTCCTGCCTTGGAGCATCCGACCGTGGATTGCACCGTCTGCAACCATGAGCCACATTAAAACTCTCTGCTTTAAAGTGTGGGTGTTGAGTGTGCTGTCCCAGTGATGGAAGATTTCCCTAACACACGGGGACACCCAGGAAACGGGGAAGAACAGATTGTTGGAGCTGAGGGACAAATCAGACTCAAGCGCACGGTGGCCTTTACCACCCACGGCCTCAGGGAGCGTCTCTGCTCCTCCACATCCATCTGCCATGATGCTTCTGACTGGATCCAAATAAACGGTGGCTTTGGGTGCTTTCTCTCAGCAGTGCGACAGTAACTGACACAGGAAGCATCACACCTGCAGCAAGGCCTGGCTCCCTTTGGACACGTTCCTCCCAGAACCCAGGGTGACTCTTACTTCCACAACTGGGCTCCTTCCCCCCAGTGCGACCCCAGGATAAGTACTGCGCACTGCTGTGTTCAAACAGCCCCAGGGGCCTCCCTGGCTCCAAGCAGAGCCACAACCTGGCTGAGCTCTTGAAAGACAGAGAAAAAAAAAAACACACCAGAGGAGAACAGGACACAGTGTCATTCTGTGAAATCATCCTTAACAAATGGGCTTCTATTCTATTTCCTGGAAATGGCGTTCCAAAGGGTACAGGCTGGGAAATTTCCATGCGTACCATACCTAGGATATAATCTTCGCTGTATTTTACAGGACTGCATTGTCACATCGCAGGCTGCATTTTCTACGGTGCGACATTTCACAGAATAATTATTTGTACAGTGCTTGCTTCCTTTGCCAGGGTGTGATTTCTCAGAGGGCAAGGGCTCTTGCGGTTGTATTTTTCCTGCTTGTGAAGGAGAGGCAGGACAGAGGAGGCGGGAAAGATGAGATGAACACTGCTCTCCCAGAGATGTGCACACCCTGATCCCCACCGGGCAGACAGAATGATGTCCCCATCACAATCCCCATGTGAAGCCAAAATAATGTCCCTGAGATGTCTGCAAGATGTCCAGGTCCAAATCCCAAAGTTCTAGAGCAAATAATGTCCCCAGAGCTGGGTGTGTTGGCACACACCTGCAATCCCAGCACTCAGGAGGCTGAGGCAGGAGATTATAAGGGTTAGAGGCCACCCTGGGCTACATAATGAGTTCAAGACCAGCCTGAAATGCATAGTGAGACCCTGTCTCAAAACAAGAAAAAAAATAGAACAATGTCCCCAAAGATGTCGTGTCCTAATTCCCATGCGACAGACAGAGAAGTGATCTTCAGACGTCTAGATTCTGATCCCAGTGGCACACAGAATGATCTCCTCCACAGATGTCCGCGTTGTGATATCTGGAAGCCCTGTGTATGGGACCATCGCGTACTGTAAACGTGGACTTACAAACAACCACAGCAAAAAGTATAGGACCTTCAGAAGAAAAAGACACCCCAGCTTTTCATTCTCCTCGCCCAGCTTGCCAGAGCTTGATCTGACGGCTGTGCGCTTGGCTTACAATCTGCAGAGAAAGCGTACACCGCCGTCCCCTGGGGACACCACGGTCATCACAGCAGGGCAGGTGGAGGGTGACTGTGGGCTGAATTTCACAGGGAAGCCTGGATTGTTGCTGCAGTCTTGATAGAGCTACATCCATTCTATAGAAAAAGGCAATCAGTATACCTATTTCTCCCCAAATGCTCGTTTCGGAACAGAGCAAGGAATGTTAGAGAAAGTTATCACATTCGACATTACAAATGTGTCTACTTCTTAGTAGCTGAAAAGTTGAAGCAGAGTCAGGTGTGGTGGTGCACGCCTGTCAGCCCAGCGCTTGGTAGGCTGAGGCAGGAGGATCGCTGTGAATTTGAGAGCAGCCTGAGTTACGCACAAGACCCTGTCTCAAATAGCTGGATCAGAAGACTACGTAAAAGTCCCAGAGAGGGTGTCAAATTCTGCTTTATACTTTCGGGCAGTTATTTGTACCCTCTCATTACTCTGTGAGAAAGCGTCCAATTACTAATTCCTGGGGTGCTACGCATAGCAAGAACGTAAAAGGCACAGACAAACAGACAGCATGGTGCTTCTACCTCAGCTCCACTTTGGTGATTTATAATATTGTAATTCTACTCACTTATGCTAATGGATGGTCTTAAAAGCAAGCCAACAGTCAAGAGTTTGGGAAAGGAATACTAAACAGCCATGAAGTGGGAAATCATTCACTTCAGTATGTTAAACTATGGCTACTGAGGGACTGTGAAATTAAGACAGAATAATTAGCCCAGCATGGTGGTGCATACTTGTAATCCCAGTACTTGGGAGGCTGAGGCAGGAGGATCGTTGTGAGTTTGAGACCAGCCTGGGCTACAAAGTGAGCTCAAGGTCAGCCTGAACTGCATAGCGAGACCCAGTCTCAAAAAAAACCAAAAAAAAAAACAACAGAATAGTTATTACATTATTATTAAAACTCCCTGAGAAGACAGATGAATTGTAATGAGGACGATGCATTCCAAGGGACCCTTCTGTGTGCATAACACATGACGTTTCACGTACTGGAAATGGTGCTGTCTACAGCTTTGTGGACAAGATGTGCTTATCACCGGCACGGAATTGCAGACATCGATACAGCCTACAGGTCAGATTGTCTGTGACTGGATGGCTCAGTTCTGTCCTTTAAAGTATATGTTGAGAATTTCTTTTTTTGGTACCGGGAATCAAACTCAGGACGTTGCGCATGCCAAGCAAGGCACCGTGCCACTGAGCTACCCCCCCGGCCCTACAGTGAGAATTTCTAATTCAACGTGTGTGTGGAGGAGAAGTCTGTAAGGGTGAGCACTTGTTTTTTGCATGCTAATAGCCTTAATGTGACAGGAAAGGAAAAAAAAAAAAGGAAGAAGAGATTAAGACAGCGATGAAAAACAGCAAACAGCGAGCAGATCTCAGGAGCTGTGGGCAGATGGACAGATGCACAGCGTCCCCAGGGAGATGCCCGAGTCCTCAGCCCTGCGAGCTGGGAATCTGGGACCTCACCAGCCCCTTGCAGAATCCATGAAGCTAAAGATATCTGTGTGGGGAAATTAGTGTGTGTCCTTCACGAGGGAAGCAAGCAATTATGTTGAGTAATCAGACTGAGTCACTGCATAGCTATTTCCCCGCCACAGAAAAGAAAGAGTCGCTTGACAAACGTTCCACGGACTTGGAGGGAAGCTGCAGTGCTTACAGGTTTACTATTTTTGTCTGCTGTACGCATTGTTTTAATTGGACTATTTATTTCCTCTCCAGAGATCACCGTTTGGTCTCTGAGCCTGTTCTTGCGGAAAGGAAAATGTTTCGGAGCACAGTGCCTGCAGCTCAGGCTGTGCATTTTTATTCAGTGTGGAGAGGGCCATGACTGCACGTCACTGGCGGTGACTCAGACCTGAAATGTCCCCCAAGGGGTCACGTGTTCCAGGCTGGGGACTCTGGTAGCGAATAGGTCAGGAAATGAGATGCGCACATGGGCGAGGGGCGGGGCGGATGAATGGGACACAGCGTAGGTGCTGCTGTCCAAGCGTGGCGGTGGTGGGGCGCTGACCGCCCACCCAGCAGAAGTCAAGAGTAATTATCTCACCGTCACTTCAAAGCAGTGCGCTGCAGGGGATAATTTCTATGACACAAACCAGTGAGTCTTTGAAATAGACAAGTGCTCAGAAAAGGGACCGGTACTCCTGACATCTGTTCCCAAGACTGGGAATCCAATCTTGGGAAAGCACGGAAGTATGTCACCAAACAAGTAAGTGAGGAAGTTCTAGTGCGCACGGAAGGTAACAGCTGGTTTGGAGCCGTTCTGAAGAACTAGAGCTCATCCTCGAACGAAAATGCAACTAGAGCTCATCACTGCTCCAACACGGATGTCTGGTTTCAGAAACCCCTGCAGAACCAGAGCTCCTGTTTGCATCCAAATTAACTCCTGGCTGGCAGTGTTTTTACCGGGAGTTTTCACACTTGCCCCCAAATCGATCTCTGTCTCATACGGGTCTCAGCAGACAGAACTCACCATTATTGACGAGCACATGGAGCGGGAGTCTCTTCATCTTGAAATTCTTCACGAACTGCCGGATGGACTTCATGGAAGCCAGGTTGCAGTATAAAAACTCCACTGGAAAAGGATCAGAACACCTGGTTACAGTCCGACCGGCCGCAGGGGCTGAGTGTTCCGTAGGTGAGCTTCCGTCCCATTAGGGAATAGCGCTGGGTTACAAACGTCACGAGGGCCCAGGGAAGGAAGTATGCATCAGGGTGATTCCCAGGGACTGCCACCCACCCCTGAATAGTTGGCTGTCTTTCTAGAGAGTAAAGACCTGCCACCTGCTTGTAGCCAATAGAAAGAACAAGGGAGAGGGGGTGGGATGCCCCTTGTGCTGTCTTTTCATCACACAGGACAAAAGCTCCTGTGTTAGAAACTTGAACTCATAATCTGACAGTCGGCGGACGTGATGCTTTGCTTGGGTTCAGGTACTTTGGGCTGGCATCAGGAAACAGACTGCATGAACTGCTACCAGGTAGTTAAACGACAAATCAAAATGTTGTACTCTTCATTTTCTAATACTAGAGTAGAAGGGACACACACACACACACACACACACACACACACATGCACACACACCTCCATTTTGATTCTTTTTTGAATACTGTGAATAATCTCCTGGTTCCCATTGTAACTGGTCAGACTTTCTATCACTGGGACAAAATAAATAACACCCACAATTTAAATAAAGGAGGAAAGGTTACTTAGGCTCATGGTTGCAGAGGGTGCAGTCCATGGTCAGCTGCTCCAAGGCAGGAGCATCATGGTGGACGGGCATGGAGGAGGAAAGATGCTCACATCATGGTGACCAGGAAGCAGAGAGAGAAGGGAGGAGCTGGGGACAAGAACTCACCTTCCAGGCCACACCCTAGGGACCACCTCCAACCAGGCCCCGCCTTCTAACAGTACACTAACTCATCATTGGGCTGACCAATAGACAAATATAGCACCCCCATGATCCAACTGTCTTCCAAACACATGACACTTTTGGGGGACATTTTAGCTCTAAACCATAACACATTATTCAGGCCGGGGATATACCTCAGGGGCGCAAGCGCCTGTCTAGCAAGTGCAAGGTCCTAAGTTCAGTTCCTGGTACCAAAAAAAGAAAAATAATAATGAAATAAACCATAACACATCCTTGTCAGTTGGCGAACTCTACTTTCCACATTGACGGCCAAGCTTTCAACTCATGAGTGTTAAGGTCACCATCAACACCAAAAGGACAGCCCACATTTCATTTCATTCCTTAATAGCAACAGCCTTGTTATTTAGGAAAATATCTGGGGAGAAAACATGGCACAGGAGGAAATTCAAAGTGGGAAAATCAGAAGCATATTAGTGCAAAGAAGTTCTGTTATTTTATGCCAATGAAAATGGTGAAATGGAATTTTCCACAAAGTAGAAATGGTTAAAAGAGTTTCAGGCTGGACGTGGTGGTGCAAGCCTATAATCTCAGCAGTTGGGAGTCTGAGGCAAGAGGATCACTGTGAGTTTGAGGCCAGCCTGAAGTGTATATTGAAACCCTGTCTGAAAAAGACAGAGAGAGAGAGACAGACAGAGACAGAGACAGAGAGAGACACAGAGAGATGAGGAGAGACAGAGACACAGAGGGGAGGTGACAGAGAGAGACAGAGAGACAGAGACAGACACAGAGAAAGGAGAGAGAGATGACAGAGATAGAGAGAGAGAAAGAGAAGAGAGAGATCCAATGAAAATCCCAACAATGTTATATATAAGATAAACATAAGCAAAACTCAAAAACGTTAGCAGCGTCTGAATTTCAACTTCGACATAAAAGAGCACTGAACTAACCTAAGGACAACACACTTGTAAGATGATCTACTCCCTCAGTTTTCTTTGGCATAGAGAGAAAACTGTCACGTGTCAAGTCACTCGGGCATCAGGGAGAAGGACAGTGTACATAACCCACGTTTCCCTTAAGGAACCAAGACCATGTCACGTGGCAGATGCCTGGTATGTGATCAAGAAACGGGCTGCAATCCGAGAGCTGTGTGTGATGAGATAAATTCAGAAGCACAGAGCGAATGTTTCAAAATCTAAGCAGAAAACAGTGACAGTCGTATGTTTGCTCAATCTGATGATTTTGTTTTAGAAAAGCAACACTGGAAGCTTCGGTTTCGCTTGATTTTTAAATGCGCTTTTCCAGGAAATCTTTTCCACCATAGGTACAGCTGATGCAGCCTGCGGCAGACTCGGGGAGCAGGAGTTTACCACCAAGGGTGTGGAAGTGCTGTTCTGGAGCCGGGTACCATCTGGAGGGGAATCTCTGACATGCTGTCGTCTTTCCCAGGAACATGCCTGTGGGGATACAGGAAATGGGAAACCCTCCTTATGCTAATGTATCACTCAGCTTCCCGCGGCTGGCACCAAATACATGACACTTGCGAATTAAAGGAGGACAGGTTTATTTTGGCTCACGATTTAGGAGGATTCACTCCATGGGTGGCTGGGTCCAAGGCAGAAACAACATGGTGGATGGACAGGTGCGGTGGAAGACACGGGTGCATGTCATGGCCCCTCTTCCCCCTCCCTCTCCTTCCAGCCCTATTTTTATTGGTGCAGCTTCTGAAAAGATGAAAGAAATCAATGCCTACTGATGCAGCAGACAGAGAAGAGACCAAGAACCTCCTGGTATCTTATGGTACTTAGAACCTTCTGAGGTACCGTCTCCGGTTGGTAGGGGATGAGCAAGACTGTTGTTGGCCAGGAAGTAGAGGCACAGTCAGACAGGAAGTGGACGGGAACAGAGAGATCACAACACCACATCCCTGACTCTCTTCCTCCAACTTTACCTCACCTCCTTATAGCCCATTTAGCTACGAGCCCATTAACTAGCTAAGCCATGGTTGCCATTAATAAACTCACAGTGTCATCACCATTCCAGGAACGTCCTGATCCAGTCCAGTTCACGACCAGGATCAAGAGGCACAACACGCAAGTGCAACTGACAATAGCAGAACTGGTAAAACCACACACTGTCTCACAGAAATCCAACGTCACTAGATTTTAAAAGACTTGGAGGGTGTTTCCCCTCCTTTTCCCGGGGGAAATATGTTTATAACCAACCGGAAATGGTACCTCAGAAGATTCTAAGTAGCATAAGGTGCCAGGAGGTTCCAGGTCCCTTCTCTGTCCACTGCATCAGTAGGCATTGATTTTCTTCACCTTTTCAGAAGCTGCACCAGTAAAAGCAGGGCTAGTAGGAGGGGAGGGGTAAGATGGGGCCAGGGAACAGCCATGGGGAGCCACTTCTGCATATCAAGCGTGGAACATCTGCCGGACAACAGAGCTCATCCTGGCTGCTCTGCTTTGCATGTGCTTTGAGTGTCTCTCTAGAGGGTCAAGCGTGCAAAGCTGGGTCCCTGAGGCAGAGATTCCAGAAGTACGAGGTAGACCAGGTGTCCCTGGATCAGAATCCGAGGGGAAATCCCAGGAGACAGCTGGGTGGTCGCTGAGGTCGGAAGAGTTTGCTGCAATTGTTAGATGTGATTGCAGCCCAAATCTTTTTCCTTTCCTGCACTGCTGGGCACTGAACCCAGGGCCTTTGCAGTAAGCTACATCACCAGCCCTTTTTGTTTTCATTTTGAGATAGTCTTGCCCAGCTGCCCAGGCTGAGCTTCAACTTGCAATTCTCCTGCCTCAGCCTCCTAGGGTGTTAGGATCATAGGCACCCACTCACATGTCCAGCCTCCTTCCTCCTTGACGCCCAAATTGTTAGCATCACAGAGCAGACTGTGGCAGACACAGGGCCGGTGAGCTCTGAACTGCTGGAGTTGGCACAAAACCCAAGCTGGTTTTCTAAATATATGTGTAACTTTTTAACTGATGCAAAACAATTGTGTGTGGTATTTCGAAGTTTGCGTAGGGCGGGAGATGATCAGAGCAGGAGAATGCACGTATCTATCCCCTCAGACATTTGTCATTTGCTTGTGCTGGAAACAGGCAGCTTCCTCCCTCAGAAGACAGCAACCGGCTTGTACAAAGAAAGAAAAAATGGAAGAAGATCTTAAGGTCTAACCTGACCACCGTGGCACATGCTTGTCAACCCAGCTACTCGGGAAGCTGAGGCAGGAAGGTTGCGAGTTTGAGCCCATCCTGGGCTACTTAGCAAGATCCCAGGTCAAACTAAAAGTAGACAGACAGATAGACAGGCAGACAGACATGCAGTAGAAGTAGAGTTTACAAGTAAAAAGCAGTAGGAATTCATCAACCCAGGCGAGCAGACACAATGCAGGCAGGGTCCAATGAATACTGTAAGGTTAAAGCATACTTTGAAAAAATCTCATAAGCATGAAGAAATAGGTAGAAAGAGGAAGAGAGGGAGGGAGGGAGGAATGAATGAATGAAGGAAGGAAGGAAGGAAGAAATGAAGGTAGGTTAGACTTGGAGGAAATTGTGAATAATATATTTTAAAAGGCTGAAAATGCAAATTTACAGACTGAATACAGTTTATTGCATGATGAAATATTTACAGTAATACATTTCTAGTTCTTGCTATGGTGGTATTATGCTAAATTTATAACAAAATGTAAAACCCGTGGAAAGGCTACTTCCTGAGGAAAGGCTGATTAGTGACATCTAATCAAAAATTAGGTCTAATCAGAGCAACCCATAATAAGAGACATTAAAAAAATGAAAATAATGACATTCAGAAGCCGGGGGTGGTGATGGATGCCTGTCATGTCAGCACTCTGGGAGGCTGAGGCAGGACGGTTGCAAGTTTCAGCCCAGCCTGGGCATCTTAGAAGCCTTGGAAGACCCTGTCTCAAATTACAATTAAAAAAAGGGCTAAGGGCACAGCTTAGTGTGAAAGGCCTGGGTTCCCTCTGCAGGAGCACCTACACACAGAAGGAAAGGCTTTCAAGCAGGAGGCTGACCTTATTCACTTCATCAAGTTTGCACTGACTATGTAAATTTTTAAAAATTATTTAATATACGAAAATAAATTTTAAATAACAAAAGCAAAAGTTTGCATTATTCTGCTACAAAAAGTACAAATAAAAAAAAACTGTGTAAAATAAAAAGGGAGGGAAAAATACAAATCTCTTGACTGGTCACATGCATGCACTTCTGCGCCTGAGAAAATCAGAAGGAAAAAATATCAATCATTAGGGATCTTTCATCAGAATAAACCTGGAAGAAAAAAACTGCAGGTGACCCGCAGGGCACTTGCCACCTCAGAGGCATCTTCCTTCGTGTGAGGGATGTTTAAATTAAGTTTTCTATCTTTTTTTTGTGTGTTTTTGAGACAGTCTAGCTATAGAGTTCAGGCTGGCCTTGAGCTCACTTTGTAGCCCAGGCTGGCCTCGAACTTGCAACAATCTTCCTGCCTCAGCCTCCCGAGTGCTGGAATTACAGGCGTGCACCACTTAGAATCTCTGGAGGCTGCAGTGTAATAGCTGATAGCACTGCTGCCTGTAGTCCCTGCACCCGTGTTGGCATGGGCTGGACACCTCTGTGAGAACAGCTGAGAAAACTGCATAGCCAGTGCTGCTGAGGGTTTGGAAAATCCGGGCTTCTTTTCTATTTGCTGCTGGGTGTGGACACTGTAGGATAACCAGGACCCGCAGAAGACCAGGAGGCACTGCCAGCGTGGATGGGGGTCGGCTGACTGTGCCCCGACTTCCAACTATCCCCACTTCACAAGACGGCCCCGGGCAGGTTCCTGGGACCTGCAGGACCCACGCCATCTCTGCCCCTCACGGACAAGCACCACGCACCCTGGGAATCAGGTGTCACTCGTGGCAAAGGTGTGGCCAGTGGACAGGTCTCCTGCACTGTGGGAATACAGGCAGTTGCAGAAGCAAAGTCTAATGTCTATTTGTTTGCTGCTGCTGCGGGGGGAACCTGGGGTCTCATGCAGGACAGGCACAAGCTCTCCCCGACCCACGTGGCCAGCGGAGTTCCCAGCCAGATCCCTAGGGTGGCCGGCTGGTCCATCACTTGGTGGACGCATGGGCAGGGTGCAGCTGGCAGTGCTCTTTGATCTTTGTTTCCTCCCAGAGGGAAAGAGGAGTAGTATTCCCAAGCTTCTGGAGTTTTTCCAGAAGCGGGAAGGAACGGCCATCGGTGCCTGCCTCTCACGAGCCCTCGTGTTTCTCTGTTTAAAGGACTTGGGTGGAACTGAGGTAGCATCGAGCGGTCCTGTGTGTATTCAGTGATCCTACTGAGGTTTCTGTGGGTGACGCCCAGGCACATCTGTTCCTGAGACCGAAGAACAAAGGGATTCGAGAAAGAGGATTTTCTGTGTCAGAGAGGGTTGACAGAGGTGGACAGACAGAGACCAAGAAATGAAGGAAGGAAGGAAGGAAGGAAGAAGGAAAGGAAGGAAGGAAGGAAGGAAGAAAGAAGGAAAAGAAGGAAGGAAGGAAGAAGGAAAGGAAGGAAGGAAGGAAGGAAGGAAGGAAGGAAGGAAGGAAGAAGGAAAGGAAGGAAGGAAGGAAGGAAAGAAGGAAAGAAAGAGGAGGGAAGAAGGGAGGAGAACGAATGAAACATGAAGAAGTACCAAGAGACAAAAAGACAGGAAGAGAGAAGAGAAAGTGATATCCATGGCACACAGGGAGACATTCCTCAAACAGCTGCACGTTTGCGTCTCCATTCTGTGTAGCATGACGCCTTTCCATCTCTACTACACACTCGCATGCCTGCCTGTAAGACACTGACACTGGTAGAACAACGCTACACGGAGGGTTTGAATTTTGTAAAAATAAACTTATTCAGTAAAAGACACGTTGTCAAGAACCGTGGGGTGTGTTGGAAGCAGTGGGGTGTATCTGGAGGTGGCTTCATGAAAATGTGTCTTTCGCTTAATACTTTTTAAAGGTGAGCATTCAGCATATTCTCCGATCGCCTGACATTGCTCAAACATTCACAGCAATTTCTGTCCAACAAAAACAAGACGCTGCGTCCTCATCCACCTTGGTCACCGGATCTAGCACTGGGCGATTTCCAGCACCTCCCCAAGGTCAAAATGACCAGAAAAGGTCAATGTGTCGAGTCTATTCAGGACATCGAGGCAGCCAGGACAGTGGAGCTGAAGACCCTCAGGAAGGAGGACTCCAGAGCTGCTGCAGAGTGTGGCACCAGCTGGAAAAACCACACTGTTTGCAGAATCTGTGCTCAGGATAACCAGGTGTCAGGACCAAAGCGATGTGGACACATCTGGCCCGTTTGGACACCTCCCCTAAACACCCACTGCACACAGGTGACCTACCTGATCGAAAGTCTCAGTCTCGGGGTGTATCTCTAACACAGCCCAGTAACAGAATAACGAACACAGGACTATTAAAGGACAGAAA